AATTAAATGAAGTAATAAGGAAATAGCATAAAAACTTATTCTAAAATTATAAAAATTAGTTATAAGATTATAACATGTCTGGTAAGTGTTTCCACTTTTATTAGTATAAATATATGGTTTAGATCTCAATATTAATACCAAAAAATTTGGTCTGGGGGGGGGGGGGAATAATAAATTTTTTTAAGAAATATTATTGTTATTTAAAAATATCAAGCATACATTTATTAGGACTAATAACTATTTCTAATACACAATTTTAAATTATATGAATTATAAAAAAATTATATATATAAACCGGCACATAAAAAACTAAAATAAATGTGAATTAAAAAATATAAAGTGAATATAACCACCATATGAATCACTTAAATGACCCAAAATAGAAATTTGAATTTTTTGAGCCTTTAAAATTTATATATAAAGTACAAGTTTTAACAAACACTATTATATTTACCCATTGCCGTACGCAGCGGGGGGGGGCAGGGGGACAAATCCCCCCCCCCCCCCAAAGCCAAAAAATGCAGATGCCGGATATATTTTTCAAAAATATTAATGTTTATAATAATTTATATTTGTTAATATTTATTCCTATCTCATATTAAATATATATTTAATTTCATTTATTTATCACATTCATCTATTAAGTTATTTTTATAATTAATTTCAATTTCAAGTTTTCATTGGCGTAATATTTACATATTATTTTCAAATTTCTAGTGGCGTAATATTTATCTACCATTTTCATATTTCTAGTCAAATAATAATTTTTCTGAAACTCCTTGTTCAACAGGGAGAAAGAAATTGCAAGCTTGTTTAACGAGATGTCTCAGCCATCAAGCAGTAACTGCTTTTATGGAGTTAGAAGGGCCGATTATTAAGGCTATTACTGAAATATCACAGTAGCCTGAAAGAAATATTTCCTCAGAAGCAAGGAAATTATTGGATTCGATACTTATTCCAAAATTTTTTCCTCATTAGAATGCATTGTTTAATTATACAACTATTTTATATAATACTTTTCAAAAACATGACATTGACTTGATTAGGAAGATAGCGGAGAGCATTTTATTAGAACTCAAGGAAATCAGGGCTAATGTTGATAAAGAATTTCAATTTTATGTGTTATTGTTGAGTCAAAAGGAGAGCTATACGTGTTTAATATTTGTCTCACTCGATTTGCAGCAAGGCAAGCTCATCGTCAAAACATTAGTATAAGATCAGTAGAAAAGTATTATAAAACTATAATCCAAATAAATGAATGGTTTTTAATTCATCATGCAGCACTTACCAATCTGCAGATATTACTTCCACAAAAGCCTTCCCAATCTTTTTCAGATGGTGATAGAAAAAAAATAATATTTTTTGATGCCTTATTAGCTGAATAATTATGTTTAAAAGATTGCTATGGATGCTTTGTATAATTTCAATTTTAGATTTTATTCCCAATGTATTAAAATGATTATATATATATATTAGCAACTCTTCCCATTAGTAAACTAATGAGATAACATTCTCTTTTTTAAGAAGATTAACAGAGGCCTGCAGAGATACAATTTTCAGGGCACGGCCTGGATTTTTTTCAAAATTTTTTTTCGGCCTGGCCCGGGTTTTTTTAAAAAAAAGTTTTCAGGCTTGACCCGGTTTTTTTTAAATTAAATTTTTCAGGCCCGACCCGGATATTTTTAAATAAATTATTTTTGATTTTTATAGCTAATTTCAAATATTTGGTTTTAAAATATATAGCCGGGCCCGGTTTATATATATAATTTTATAATTCATATAATTTAAAATTGTGTATTATAAATAGTTATTAGTCCTAATAAATTTATGCTTGATATTTTTAAATAACAATAATATTTCTTAAAAAAGTTTAACCCCCCCCCCCCCCCCAGGCCAAATTCCTGCGTACGCGCCTGTATTTACCACAGAGTAATCATCAACTTTTCTATGTAATAATTAGTCTTTATTAAATTTAATTTCTTTTTTGTAATTTCATCTCTTATATGACGCATATGTAATAAACGTTTCCTATTTTATAGTGGGATTTTGAATATTATATTGAGAAATCTATTCACTCTTTTCGTATGCATATAGTAGTTCTTATAAAACTTGGCATCATTTTTAAGTAATTTGGGTAACAAAATAAAATAAGCTCTTTCTATACATCTTTTAGTGTTTATAATATTCTTTTCCTTCTTGAATAATAGATCAAATATAATATATAATTTTTCTAGAAAATATTTCGCCTAATACCCCCGTGGTTCTCTCTGATGTGATGGTGGTCATACCTTTTACCTCAATGAATATTTGTTCATTTAGATAAAATTATGCCTAATTTATTATAAGCCAAAAATTAAAATAAATCACTATGAATGCCTTGTCGGGCGCTGCCAAATCTGATGTTTTTGACATTTAAATCAGATCCGTCTCCACTTTGTATGCTGCCTAAGGGTGTTGATATACTCCACCTGGTTCTAAACTCAACCATAATTTCCCCGAGTTCAGTGGATCCAGGTTCAAAAATTTTAAAACTTGGGGGTGATTCAACGGGTTCAGCAAGTTTAGACGTAAAACCTAATATTTTTAAATTTTGTTTTAAAAAAATCAAACATAAAATGACTAAAAAATGGATCCTAATCATAATCTGAATATTTTCGGGTTCTGAAAAAGAGTCCCGAACCAAGGTTTAGGATCGGTACAGAACTATACTTTATATTTAACACTTAAGGGTTTTGGTAAAAATAATATAATATTAGTAATTATTTCTTATATAACTTTTCCATTATATCTCAATTTATAAAATCAACATATGGTGAATTCCATATCAAATCAACCAAGGTTTCAACCCGACCCCCTTCAATTTTTCTTAAATTTTGTACACTTGTAGTATATACTATAACTAAGAAAAAAATAAAATTTTACCTTCCAACACTGTTTACCCGCTAATATATGGCCGTTTAAAGGGCGGAAATATGGTATATTTTTGACAAAAAGCATCTTATTTGTTTTTATAAATCTCGAGAAATAATTATGTTAGAAAAATAATTAAAATTTTATTAAGTAGCTTAATAATAGTTCTTTAATATGACATAAATATAAATATGATAGAAATTTAATTAATATCGAAAACTAGATGTACAAAGCCGGAAATGGCCATAGAAAAAAAGGTATTTTTTTTTCATAATTTTTTTTTTGTAGATAGATATCACACTGCTTTATATTTATACAAAATTCTAATCTGGGATGAACATGGGTTTAGAAGTTATGACTCTTTATATGGCTAAAATTGAACAATTTTAACCCAAAATATCATCATATTTAAATTTAATGAATAGTTATGAAATAATGTTAATTTAAAAATTATGTCTAAATGACAGGCTCTTATTTTTTTTTATCTTTATCAAAATTTTTGAGGGGTGGCTAGGATAATGAGCTATGTTTAACACTTTAGTTAAATTTTGTTTCGAAGTTACTTGACAAAATAAATCTAAACATATTTATAACTTTTATTTGCCTCAAATTGCATTACATATAATACAATCAAAAATTTATAATTAAAATATATCATATATTATAATCATCCAAAGAATTTGAATAAATTTTCACTTTTGTTTTCGCCTAGGGGAATAAAAACATGGAACTTTGTATTCCAGACATTTTCTTTGCTCTCAAAAATCTGCTTCCAGGATGACTTTCTATGTTAATATATTCGTTATTGCTCACAAATATATAATTTACCCCATAGATATTATTTCTTGCATATTTAAATAGTTTCATTATTTTCAATATGTGATATCCATATGGGTATTGCAAGCTTGCTTGAGCTGCTATAACGGTCCATAAGATGTCGTTTCACTCAATCAAATCTTTCCTTCAAGAATACCATCAATTTTTTAAATAAATAAAACATGCGTTGGGCTTTAAACAATCTAAAATAACCACTAAATTTACATGTTTTATTATGTTGTCCTCATCATAAAAGTGCGGATAGTGGCCTGATTATTTATCTGATTAAATCTTTGTGCATGGTCCCACACCACAAATGCATAGTTTTCTGAAAAGTCTGCAATAACTAAGAATTCTCCAACATTTAAATTGAATTTTAATAAGTTTCGAATTAATGATTATCGTGAAGCTATAAACAAGAAATCAAATTGTTTAATTATTCAATTAAATAATCTACAAATTCGTCGGCGGATTTTGTTAGTGTTTCGAGGGTAGTTCGATCAACAACTATCCATTATTTGAATGTTATATAATCTATAGAATTCTCGTCAAAGAATATATTAAGCCTTTCTTTTAATTTTAAAGTTATGGGGGAAAATTATTGTTGGATTTTAATTATTGTAGATTATTTTATGCTAAATAAAGCTCATTATCTTAGCCACCTCTCAAAAATTTTGATAAATTTAAAAAAAAAATATGGGCCTGTCATTTAGACATAATTTTTAAATTAACATTATTTCATAACTATTCATTAAATTTAAATATGATGATATTTTTGGTTAAAATTGTTCAATTTTAGCCATATAAAGAGTCATAACTCCTAAACCAATGTTCATCCCAGTCTAGGATTTTGTACAAATATAAAGCAGTGTGATATTCTACAGAAAAAAAATTTTGACAAAGAAAATACTTTTTTTTTCTATGGCCATTTCCGGTTTTCGATATTAATCAAATTTCTATCATATTTATTTTTATGTCATATTAAAGAAATATTATTAAGCTACTTAATAAAATTTAAATTATTTTTCTAACATAATTATTTCTCGAGATATTTGAAAATAAATGAGGTGCATTTTGTCAAAAATGTACCATTTTTCCGCGCTTTAAACGGCCATATCTTAGCGGGTAAACAGTTTAGTTATATTATATACTACCAGTATACAAAATTTAAGAAAAATTGTAGGGGGTCGGGTTGAGAATTGCCTTTTTTTTGTCGATTTGATATGGAATTCACCATATATATTTTAATTAATATTTTTTAAAATTTCTCTTAGGTGGACGATTTATTCAAAGAAGATTTCGAAGGAAAATTACCTTCCCAAATTTTCAAGGAATTTGAAATGACACCTCGCGCGTCTGCCAGTTTGGCTCAGGTGCATAAGGCCGAAACTTTCGATGGAAAGAGTGTAGCAGTTAAGGTTTTTTTTAATTAAGTATTATATGATTTTAACGTAATTAAGATCTTTACTTAATTTATTTTATTTATTAAGATAAATATAGTCCTCCACCATTGGCTTCATATAATAAAAATTAAAACTTTTAGTCTATATCAGAAAGCTTTTTGGCGTTATTATCTTATATTTTAATTATAATTTTTTTAGTTATTAAAAATAGACACTAAAGAATTTAGTGGACATAAATTATACCTTTTTAAGTTTTAAACTGAAATCGACTGTAATTCGTGAATTTTTTTTTATGTGAGGTTATACTTTTCCTATTTTATTCTAAAAGCTATTAATTTTACAAAATAATTTTAGAAAAGGTATAAATATAATATCTTAAAAAACAAAATTACGTTCAATTGTTTCTTTATTAGAGTAAATATAAGATTTATTTTAAAAGTAGAACAAAACAACTCATTTGACTGTTTAAAATCTATTACATAATGATTAAAAAATGGGAAATAATGAAGCAAAACTACATAAAAAATTTTCTTGCAGGTATAATTTTTTACAATTTCTCTCAACGACTTGTAGAGGTGTTAAATTTTTGAACAAACCCGGATTTAAAAAATTTCCAGTCTGACCCAGATATTTTTTAAATTTTCTCAGCTTAACCTAAAAATTTTGTCAATTTTTAATCATTTTTACTGTATTTTATAAAGTAGAAATTAAAAATTTAAGAATCAGGTGAAAATTAAATTGACTCTCATCATATGATTTTCCAATTAGTTAATTCAGATAATTTTTTAAAAAATTAGCTTATTCAAATTACATTTTTTTTTAAATTAATCTTATTTGAAACATTTCATAGGTTCAATACATCGATCTAAGAGATAGGTTCAATGGTGACATGTGGGCTCTCAGATTTTTGATGGAGTTGGTGACCTATATTCATCCCAAATTTGGTTTCAAGTGGATATTAGACGTAAGTTTATAATTTTTCAAATCTGTATCGGTGCATCTCTCTACTCATTGATAATACAGTATTTTAGTCTTATTTTGCTTTATAACAAGGCAACCAGCCTCTTAATTTCCAATCTTGTAAAAGTTGCTTTCCTAGAATATTCTAAATGTAAGCACATTATTGTCATCTTTAATTCAGCGAATTGTCTTTTGAAAGTTAGTGAGTTTCTTTTAACTTTGAAAATTGATAACGATATAAGTATAAAAAGCAAAGATATTTTTAAAAAAATATATATTATGTATACTATTTTTATACTAGGAATTAGAGGACACTCTAGCACAGGAGCTCGATTTCGTTCACGAGGGCAAAAATTCGGAAAGGTGCCAGTTCGATCTTAAACATTTGAAATACGTTTACGTACCACCCGTCTTATGGGAATATTGTAGCATGGTAATAAATTGTTAATTTTTGGATGCATCTTAGATTTATAAACTAGTTATAATTGTTACCATGAGAACGATAAAAATTATTGGGCATAAAAAAGGAAGGAATTAAAATTATAGTTTTAAAAGTGACTGTTAGTCGAGTACTCAGGCTTCAATATATAAAATAAAATATACAAACTTCTTCTATTATCCTTTTTGTGACTAATTAATTTATATATTTTTTTGAATTTTATGGTATATTAGAGGGTTTTAACAACGGAATGGATCGATGGTGTCAAAATTAACGATATGTCGAGATTAGAATCCATGGGATTCTCTTTGAAAGATGTAGGATTTTTTTTTATTATATAAGAATATTTTAAATAATCATGGTAGGTAGTGTTGTTGTCGAGTTCTTCCGACTACGACTAATAGTCATACGTAGTCGAGTAACTTGACTAAAAACTAGCGAATACATTGGCAACTAATTCAATAGACTAAAGCACAATTTAGCCGACTAAAGAAACTAATTTAGTTAACTAAACTACTAGGGCTCTGCCGATCCATATATTTTTCACCTATCCGATATTTTCCTATATTGGTTCAAACCCGATCCGATATTTATATTGATTTTTCACCCCCCCCCCTCTTTGAACCAAATTTAATTAATAAATCAATATTTTTTATGCAAAAAATTGAATTATGCATTTTATTTTATTTCTACAATAATTAAAAAAAGTTTAAGGATATTGGTAGTATTAAATGAATTTTTCATTATTCCTCTCCGTGAAATTAAAATTCCTCAGATAACGCATTTTGCAAAATTATCTTTGTCATTTGTAAAATATTTCCATAATTCAGATTAGAGAACTGCAAAGTAATTTTTTCGCAACCCGAGCCCGACCCGAGCCCGAATTTAAAAATTTTTTTTGTCCGAGCCCGACCCGAGCCCGAGCACACATTTTTTAATCCAACCCGACCCGAGCCCGACCCGAATATAATTTTGCAATTTAAGTTTTAATATTATAATAACCAAAAAAAATTTTTGTGTATTTATTCAGTTCAGCCACCTTAAATAAAAGTTTATTTGACGGCCATAATCTATTCAAGATATATATTAAGTTGCATTTTTAAAATTTGTAAAAAATATTATAAAACGATTAATATACAAGCGAATTTAAAAATTATAACGATTATATAATAAGCATCATTTATGCGAATATAGATATGATGTAAAAGTTAATAAATATATAAAAAATATAATGAACATATTATATTATATATTGACCTCATCAATATCATTATCAAAATTATCACAAAGTGAATAATTATGATATATAAATAAAGAGGCGTCCAGTTTATCTGGCTTTAAACGAGTCCTTCTCTCCTCAAAGGCCCTACCAGCAGCTGAAAACGCCCTTTCACTGCCGACGAAGCAGGGATAGCCAGGAATTTAAGAGCTAAAATACTTAAATTTGGAAACTCATAATGGTTTGTTTTCCACCATTTTAAAATATTATCGTCATCAACACATAATTTCGGATCTAGATATTTTTTTAGCTCGTCAACTTCGGCGCTAGCATCAGAATACGCATTGTCAGCCTCCCATAGAGAGAAGTCCAAAAACGTATCTACCACCTCTGTAGTTTCTTAAGAAAAAAATATTCAATAATAATATTAAGATATATATTTACATTATTATTTTTTAATAATTTTACATATTTGATGATTAATATTTTTTTTGATATATGATATTTTTTTATAAAATTTATGTAATTATCATTATTCAACATTGATTTAATAAAATTTGAATTTTTTGAAATTTATTTAGTGATAATAAAATAATTAAAGGAAGTACTGAAAAAGAAAATTTTATTTCAGTAATTTTAGGAAAATTTGTCTAACTTTTTTTTGGAAGTAAATATTAATCTAAGATTTTGTATTTATTATCTCCAATATTTTTTAAATATATACTCAAAATTTTAGATCTCAATTTTTAATAAGTTTTGAGATATATCTAATCAAAATTTGGGGTAAAATAGACCCCACCTTTGTAGTTAAGGGAGTTTTTTCTACCTTTGTAGTGAAGGGTTAAAACAAATGTTAAAAAAGACAATGTATAGGCTAGTTAAATAATAAATAAAACTTACATAAAATATGTCTTATCTGTAATTTACGAGAAACACAATTTAGTAATAAAATAGTTTGGTATCCGGTTGTTAGGTTTATAAAATAATAATTAATAATGACATGACATGTTAATATGATTTTATAATTAATATTATAAATTATACTAACTATTTAAGATATTAATATTATTATATATATTTTCGGGTCGGGTCGGGTTTTCGGGTCGGACAGCTTTTACAACCCGACCCGAGCCCGAACCCGAGAAATTTTTTTTTGATGTCCGCGGGCTACGGACAGCCCGTGCAGTTTTCTAATTCAGATACCATATTTAAAAAAATTCTTTATTTAAAGTATAAATAATAAGGCATTATTTTTTAAAAAGATAATAAAATTTTAGGTGTTCCTTTCTATTTTTATAAAACTATTAAAAACTATAAATCTATTTTAAAAAATAAATAATATTTAAAGGGTGTTATTTATTTGTATTGTTTAATAAAAAATTATTTAGAAAATATTATTAATGTAAAATAAATATACATAAAATAACAAAAAAAATAAAAAGATCGAATCGGTTTTTTACAGGTATCGGGTAAATCCAATATTTTTGGAAAACTCTAAATATCGGTGCCGATCCGATATTTAATATCGGAACAGCCCTGACTACTAATTTGGTCAACTAAATCGACTAATTTAGTGACCCTTTTACTCAGCTAAGTCGACCATAAAAATAATAAACAAAAATAATGATAATAATTATTATAAATAAGTGAAATTATGAGTTATAAAATTAACAATGAAATAATTTAATTTTAAAATTAATATATTATATGATATATATGTAATCAAACCAGAGTTGGCACGTCGGTCAATTGACCAGTCAAATTCAGTCAATTGACCGGTCAATTGACCTTAGAAGTATTTGACCTGTCAAATACGGTCATATACTCTAAAAAATTCTAAGGAAAAATAAATTAAAAATATGTTTAAAAAAGGGAAAAACGATGTAAATACATGTGATCACAATGTTTGCTTATTTTTTGTGTCCACAATATCAAGAGGAAAACTCACAAGTATGTGATATAATTCAAGAATTAGCTATTTTACAAGATCGTGATGACCAAAATATTTTAAGTGATATATTTAATTTCAGAAGCAAAAACAGCATGTTTAATATAGCAAATTATGTGGAAACCAGAAACAATCAATTCCGACCTAGTTAATAGATTAAACTTTGTCCACCCTGCCCATTAAGAGACTAACAATTCCTAGTTCTACTTCTCCCTTAGAAAGAAATAGGTCGATTTGGGTTAATATTCTTGTGAAAATAGAAATCGATTGAAGATCTAAGACATCAGGAAAATTGATTAAAAAATATTAAAGAAAATGATAATATTGAATATGGATCAGAACAAAACTCTGCTACAGATAGCTACATGTTAGTTATTGAATGACAATGAATTTAAAAAATTAATATTATAGATTCATTTTACTATTATATTCAAAATAAAGTTAAAATTAACTTAAAAAAACATATATTTGAATTTGTATTTTTCCGGTCAAATGCACAACCCTGAATCAAACAAATAAACTCGATTCCCCGACCTCCTTCAATTGGAAGCATTATAAGGAATATATAATGATTTTGTAAAGAGTGATAAAGTACCACTATGATAATAAAACCCCAATAATCTCTTCACGCTTCTCAAGGATGGACTTTCGCCCCGCAAAAAAATTTTGCAAATCTTGAGGGAACGATGTAGTTTTTTTTGTCAGATAATTAGATCTTTGTAATCGTCAGAAATATTTCATTTTAAATATTATTAAGAAAATTACGGTTTATTATAACAAATAAATCTCATATTTTTCAAAATAATCTCTCAAAGTTTAATCTTCTTAAAATAATAAAGCAAAATAAATATATTTGACATAAAGTCATATTGAAAATTTATTCCAAGAGCAACAGTTGGCATTGTTGATAAATTTTACTCTACGAAATTAAATTACGTATCCATTAGCCTAAAATTAATAAACATCTTTTATTTCTTACCAAAATTATTTAAATTCTACAAAGAGATAAAAAAAAGTTATTTCAATTCCAGTAATGTGCTGCAACTCTTTCGGTTAAAATCATATTTAATATGTTATGATCTTAAACGGGCTAATACATGGATGATACAGTTATTTCTAGCATATTTAATCAAAAAATTTGTAGTTCTTGTCTGAAAAATTTCAATAATTTTATACTTTTCTGATGGAGTTGTTACCCAGTACAAAACTTTTTAATTTCTACAACCATGAGAATGATTTTGGAATCAATGCAGATATGTATTTTTTTACAACTGCACTTGGCAAAACTCCTTGCGATAGTTTAGGGGACATTACTAAGAAGTTAGCTGTTAGAGCAAGCTTGCAACGTCCTTATGATAATCATATACTAACACCTATGGATTTATGTTTTGTAATTATGGGCTAATTAATATCTCTATGATTAATTATATATTTGTCAGCAACATTAAAAATATAAGCATGGTAACTAATTTTGAAAATAGATTTTAAACAGCCAAATGAATTCCCGGAATGCAAAAATTTCATGCATTAGTTTCCATGAAGGAAAAAATGAAAGCCAAATTATATTCAAATTCATTTAATTATTTAATGTATATTATTTAATTAATGTGTTTATTATAATATTAATTTCCCATTGATTTTCATGTATTATAAATAATTAGCTAAATAAAGTTAAAATATTTTTACAATTATTTTTTTTCTACAATATACCTAAGCTTATATGTTAAATACGACCCAATGTCCACAGTGATTTCTCTGGTGCCTGATTCTTCAAGCCCAGCCCAAAATTTTTATAAAAAAAATATGGGCTCTCTCCCAGACAATTTTTTTTATATTTATCCAGAAAAGCTGTTCCCGAGATATACGAGCTCATAGGTGCAAAAAAGAGCCACTTTTCTGTAAAATTTTAAAAATGCTTATATCTCAAAAACTATTTAAAGTAAAAAAAATATATATGATATATCATATTGTAAATTAATAAAATCTCTAAAGGGCTATCAAAAAATAATAAAAATTCGCGTCATTTTGAGTCTTTAACTTCCGGTCTACTTATATTGCTTTACCTGTATTTTTAAGCAAAAAAGGGAGTTGTTTTCGAAATTTTTTTTGCTTTTTATTTAGACACCTTTTATAAATATATATACGATGTCAAAACCTTGGCTACGCGACGCTATCGACTCTTCCGAAATATACATTTTTACCAGAAAAAAAATATATGGCGCTAATGATTTAAAACTATTATTCTTAAGGAAACTAAAAATATTGACACGTTTATAAGAAATATGATAAAGATTTCCCAGTTCTGCCCCACCCACCATCCTTAAAAAGTTTTACATTTTTTAGATCTCTACTTTGCTACTATAGCGAATGACTCATTAGCTCGATAATATATAAGTATAACAACTACAGTAAAAAAGAATATTTTATTAGGCATATTATCGATTATATTTTACGAGCATATTATTTTACAAAATAAACTGTTTAAAACGATCTCACATTCTACATATATTTTTAACTTGCCTGTTTAGATTAATTAGTTCAACCCGTCTGCAGCTTATTATTTTATCGTCTGTCTACAAATAACATTCGGAATTTCAAGAGTGTATAAACATATATTCAGATTAATTAAAAAAAATTTCTATATCACAGATGGACATACCAAATGTTAAAATTTCAAAATCATCTACAAAGACATGCTCATTATCGCAAGAATCTAAGAAAAATTCTACCCTGGGTGACCCAAAAAATTTTACTAATCAATTTAGATATGTTAATATGCTCTTCATGCCGACAAAAATTAGCAAACAATTTTTATACTTTAAATTACAATGTAGATATTGATTCTCCTCCTCATATAATTAATCGAGAAGCTATTGATAACATTAATATATCCTTACAATCAATAGGGGAATCTTACATTATAAGAAAACGCTTACGTGAAAAGAAATATCCAAAGAAAAAATTATTAACTAAATTTTGTTTTAAATATATCTTAAATTATGGAATGAATATTATTATCTATCTATATTATATATTATTAATAAAAACGAATAATAATTAAAAATTATACGAAAGATATTTATTATTAGAAATTTGTTACATTATTGTCTAATGGGCATTTCCCACACTGCCCCTCAGTTTAATTAGTATATTTAATAGAAATTCGAAATTTTTAAGTATAAAAAGTGAAAATATCCTGTTAATGGTAAGTTAGCAACAAAATTTTAATCATAATCCGTAATTTCATAAAGCGCCATTTATTTTATCTTAATTTTTGGTAAAAATGTATATTTCGGAAGAATCGATAGCGTCGCCAAGGTTTTGACATCTTATATATATTTATATAAGGTGTCTAAATAAAAAGCAAAAAAAAATTCGAAAACAAACTCCCCTTTTGCTTAAAAATACTGGTCAATATAAGTAAACCGGAAGTTAAAGACTCAAATTGGCGCCAATTATTATTTTTTTGATGTCCTTTAGAGATTTTTTTTTACCTACCATATTATATATTTTTTTAATATAAATAGCTTTTGAGATATAATCATTTAAAAAATTTTACAGATTCCATTGTGGCTATTTTTTGCACCTATGAGCCCTTATATCTCGGGAAATAGGTGTGCTAGCGAGCTAAAATAAACGGCGTTGTTATCATTTTTTTACCTATCTAAATAATTCCAGAAATATTTAACTTTTAATAGGAGTCGGCCGAATCGTGATCGATTTGATGAGGAATGGCCCAGGTGCGGAATCTCTTGGACCATTATTTGTCCCAGCCTAGAACTTTATACAAGGAGATATAATGTCTTTCTGTAAAAAAAAATTGAAAGAAAAAAACGCAATTTTCTTTTTAAAACTATTTCTGGTTTTTGTTAATAGACTTTTTTCGATAAAATAAATTTCATATCATATTGGCTATTCTAGAGCTATTTAATAAAATTTAAATTATGTTTTTAGCATATTTACTTTTTGAGTTATTTAAAATTAAATATAGTGTATTTTGGAATTTTCACATTTCCAAAGATGACCATATTTCATGAAGTACTGAGTTGGGAATTAAAATTTTATATTTTTACTAGTTAGTGTTGAATTTTCAGTTGATTTGATATGGAATACAACATGTATTTTTTGAAAATTAGGTGAATAAAAAAAATGGAACATTTTAAACAATTTGTCCAATAAAGGTCAAATACAATTAAATATTATTTACAAAGTGTTGGGTAAAATATTGATTTGACTAAACTTAACCAATTTTTGTCAAAAAATTGACTCAAACTCAATGAAAAATACCCTCCAAAAATTTGGATAATTTTATGGTGTTAGTTTCCCATACTTAAAATTTATCTAATAGATTATTCTTATAATCATTGTCAAGATTACTAAAATTTATATCTTATTCAATAAAAATGTGAGGAAATTGGAAACCTTTTCCGTAGCTGTAAATCCCAAACTCTCTAAAGACTTCATCCAATAACTGTTATTTGATTATAATATGTTCCAAGTATTCTTCAACATGCCAAGGCTCTTGATTATCCTTCAAATGTTTCTCGTGTAATTGGAAATATTGAATAAAATATATTACTCAGTGCACTGTTATGTCTATAAAGCTTTGAGTTTTTGTAAACAACAAATCTGCCTTATTGGTGGTAGAGATATATGATTGAGTCATAAAAACCACGATAAATTAAGGTTATATAAGTTTATTAATTTATTTTACAAATATATAGTATTTTCATATAAAATGAAATTTTACATCCTGTCTGTCAAAACTCATTTTTAAATTTTTGTATCGAAGATGCATTTTTTCAAAATATATGTACGAAATTTTGAAAAGTGTTTTTTATCTTTTTTTGAAATTTTTCAGATATTTATTCAACACTGATAGAGACTGTATCATTACAATCTGCTTATCACTTTATTTAATAGTACAAATATAACAGTTTTATTTATATTATTGTTTATTAGATCGACACCAAGTTAATTTCCATGTTCGGCGAACAAATCTTCTGCACTGGCTTTGTGCATGCTGATCCTCATCCCGGAAACAGTTAATAATAAATACCATGTTTTTTATAATATTTTTATTAACTTACAACTTGATTTGGAAAGGGAAATATTAACATCTTATATTCGCATATACGTTCACCTTCAAAAAGGGACGCGTTCACGTTCTTTCAAAACTTGAATATATTATTGGTTGTTCGCAATAAGAATATCGTTGTTCCTCTAGAATGGTTGTCAAGGCTAATTATTTGAAAAACCAAAAATCACAAAATATCAAATAATTTTATTGGTAAAATAAAAATTGAAAAAATGAAGTCTCATAGTAATATTAGCAAAAATCGGCCCTTTTATATCATACAGTAAAATAAATAATAAATAATTCTCCAAAATAAAATAATATAGGACTCATCCTGAGTCTTGCAACTTATATAATTCAAAGTCAAATACATGTGCCGTTGTCACACATCTATATTACCCCGATCATAACATATATTTTTTTTAAAATATAATATAGTGAATAAAAAAGATTCTTATTAAATATGAAATTTAATTATTTATAAAATAAAATGTTCAACAAGTATTATATAACTCTTGATAAAAACTTAAAAATAATAATGATTAGATTATTATTTCAAAGAATCATACTAAAAATAAATAAATTCTAAAAGATATTAACTATTTTATATCTATGTATAATATATAACATTTAATGATTCTTACTTTATGTATCTATTATAATCAGTGGCATAGCCAGGATTGATCCATGGGGGGGGGGGGGGGGGTGGAATATTTTAGTGTCTAACCACTATAGTAGCCAGCATAAATGAAAAAAAATATTAGTAACAAGATTATGATTATTACGTGACTGAAAGCTATTCTAAAAATTTTATCAATGTTTAGTCAATTGTAAATTAATTCAATCCATTCGGTGTAGAAAGAAGAATAAAATCGCCACCCCCCCCTAAACCTCCCATTTTTTATGACACTCAATATATCTTATTCTATGTTAAAAATAATTATTTTAATTAAATTTTTGCATATAACAAAATTTTGCAGAGAATTTCATTATAGATTTTATTTATTATTAAAATACTTTAGTATAAATAACACCCCTTTATTTAACTATGTATTATTTTAATGATAACAAATGAGTATATTAATAAAACATTAATAATTCTTATTAGAGATCTGCAAAAGTAGGAAAATCGGGTTTGGGCCTAATATTTTTTTAAAAAAATCGAGTCGGGTTGGATCGGGCTTTGGAATTTTTTTTAAAATATATCAATTTTATGTTAAATTTTTTATGTAAAATAAAAATATTTGATTTTATTTATAAAAACTAGACGCCATGTAGCATATATATTTTATTCTGAGTAATTATAAAAATGAATTTCTATATTTAAATAAATTCAGGCCAGGCCGACAAAACTTTTTTAAAAAAATTTAGGGTTCGGGCCGGCAAAACATTTTTAAAATAATTTCGGGCCTGGCTTGAAAAATTAGGCCCGATACAGATCACTACTTATTGCAAATACAATATTTTTATTAAAAATAGTATAATATATAAATATTATGACAAAGAATTCATTATAATTACTTATTGAATATAAAAATTTTATGTTTAATATTATAGCAATTTTATGATTTGAATTTATAAAGAGAGATGTATTTTTCTCTGAGATTTGACTAATTTATATAGAATCAAATTTTTATCTAGCGAATTATTTAAACAGCTTTCACAGGTGCTATTTCTAAAATAGGGGTTTAACCTTTTCAAAATTGAAGAAGACCTTTCATTAGTGCAGGTGCTAATCGGTAAGGTAGCTAAAATAAAAAGCAATGTTTTGATATTAGGCAGGGCTTCTAAAGTGCTATCACAATGGAAAGGGCCTGCATAGCATTTTTTGGTCTCAAAGAGTACTCTATTCTGTCAAAATTTTTATACCAAAATTCGAAATCACAAAGTAACTTATCATACGATCCTAATAATTCATCAGAATAAAACTCTGAGACTTAATATCCTCTCGCGTTTCAAGTGTATTCAGACTCAACCGGCAAAAGAAAATGAAAGCTGTTTAGAATAAAATTATGACTAATAAATCTTTCCTTTAATTGAAATAAAAATGTATCAATAAGGGGAGTAAAAATATTTATTTTATAAAAATCCTCAATCGTAGATGCGTCAATATTTAAGCGATTGGACTATCTAGAAACTACTCTAGGTTTAAAATTTTTAATCCCAAACATATTATCACTTTTACTTTCTCATTATATTTACCAAATTATATAATTTTTCTTTTATTTAAAAATTAATTAAAATTTTTAAAATCTAATTAGTTTAACAATATAAATTTTATTATTAAATTTATAAATATCTAATTTAACTATGCTAGAAAAAATTTACAATATATTTTTATTGTTATTTAATATTTTACATATAATTTTTAATATATATTTTTAAACCATGTTATCATTTAAAATTGAAAATTCTTATTTGTTTTTTTAAATATATTTCATTTTCATATCTTATATAATTTTATTTATAAATTGAAACCGTTTTTAAATAAAATTATTCGCAAAAGAAAAAAATTTAAAAAAAAAATTTTTTTTTCGGAGGTTGGGGGGGGGAGGATTCAACCCCAAACCCCCCCCCCCTGTCACGCCACTGATTATAATACTTTAATAAACCTTTGAAATACAACAATCTAAAATAAGTTATTGACGGTCTACTTATAGCCAGCATCATGCCGAGACTTTTGGCCATCCAGGGAAATATATAATTTGGCTGCCCCTTAAAAAACGATTTACCTATTTGATAATTTTTCGCAATGAGAACTTTATATATTTTATCAAATTTTAATCATAAATGAGTAACGCACATTATAAATGAATATAATCATAAACTAAAATACTGCAATTTTATTTATCCCCTTCGCCTTTTTATATGCAAGGATATTAATATTATGTCAGTATAATTAACGATGAGTCGATATCATTTTCTATTGAAATTAAAGAGAGAATAACAAGTCCGTCCTTTGCCATACAGGATCATAGGTAGTGAAGGTCACTGTCCGGACTGGACCGATACCCTCGGACCGGATCACGGTCCTTAAGAAAAAGATCAATCCAGACCGTGTAAATAAAAAATATATTTTTTTAACCTAATTTAATTTGTTTTATCATTTTATTAAATATAAGAGTATTATATAAACAATAAAATTTATCCAATGGTATTGAAGAAAGTGATTTTGTGCTTGTGAGAGGGCATATTAAAATTAAGAGTAGATTGTGTTTTTGAGATATTTTGATCATTAGAAGTATATATTTTATGTTTTATCTGATGTCTGCTTAAGGTATCTTATTATTTTATTAAGAATAAGGTTAAGTTATTTTGACAATATACGTTTCATGTAGCAGGTTTAACGAAAAATTATTCATATAATCCTTCAAAATTTGCCATCGCTGAGTAGAAACCAAAAAGAGAATATATATTCGTTGGACAACGCTAAAAAATGATTATGCGACTAATGATGATCGTGCCATGTCATCAAGTAGCAGATTTATGCTGTGGCACTCACAAGGCATAAAAAACGCTCTCCGATTTATTTGGAATATTCGAGATTTAACCCCTTTATAACATCCTCTCATATTTGATCCAATTTCTATTATCTTAGATAATAATAAAAATGCTTCTATCAAGGTCTAGCCAGTACTGGAATCGATTTTTAGAAAGACAACAACTCGCTCATTTATTTTCGGTGTTGTTAAGTTCTGCCTTCGTATAACTACTGTTAATTGTTTCTGATAGTTTGTCTGGTGTGCAGTCTAATATTACGGAAAAATATATTGCGTTTTTAATAGCATCAACAATTTTTTTCTATGATCTTATCTCCTATCAAGTTTATATTTCATATTGAATTCGATTTCATAATATTTTATTAAATTTCGTTAAAAATCTAATTTCTTAACTAATAAATAAATGAAGTTGTTTTTATCAAAATATAAATCAAATATTTTGTAATAATACATATAAACATGCCAAACCTTTTTTCATTTCAAAATTTATACATGGATTTTTTATGCCTTGCTTGTATTTAGTATAATTGAATAAAATTACAAAACTTGGCCGCTCTTAAAATTGTCTAAGCCCCCCCCCCGAGTTTGCACGGCACTTAGCTATAATTATATTATATAAATTAATAAATATCACAATCAAGTGTCTTTAAATTATAACCTGAAGATTTTGAAACTGATATTATACTTTTTGGACTCATTTTATATTTGGTAAGGATAAAAACTCCTTAAATATATGATATTACTGTAAAATATTTATTATAGCCTGGGTGTAGGGGCCATGCCGTATAAATTTTTTAGAATAAACCCGGGTCAGGTAAAAAAATTCCCAACAACCTGGGCTGGGTTTAAAAAAATTTATATGGGGGTGGATCGAATAATTTAAAATTCGACTATTTATATAATGAAAAAATATAAATATATTTAAATATTGTATTGTATCATAGAATGATATATCGCACTCATACTTCTCATATTTTAATTTCTATTTCAAAACCATTTATATTACTCTTTAAAAAATACTTAAATAAATAAAAGTAAAATTGTTTTTAAACCAATTATTCACTCATTATAATAATTTTTTTTTAGTCAAATTACAAAACCTTAATCTGTCTTTAATAAAATAGTTATTAATTTATGATTTTTATTAATCAAAAATTACATAACTATATGAAAGAAAGAATTAGTTACTATTTCAACAATTACTATATAATATAATAACCAAATCCAATTAATATTACATTTTATATAGAATATCAATAAATTATTGGAAAATAACTTAAAATATAAATTTGTCTTTATTTTTCCTGTACTTGGTAAATAAACATTCATTTTAGAAAGAAATCATTATAATTTTAATTTTTAGTCAATCAAACATACATTACATATAAAATACATTGGGATAGGTTCTAAATCGCTAAAACAAAAATCGCTAAAAATTGGGAACATGGCTTATATCTCCTAGAAAATTTTTAAAGTAAATTTGAAATTAATATTAATAGATACTAGGGGACTAATCACTTGTATTTAAATTGAAAATTTAAAAAAAATCGCCAAAAAGGAAGAAATATCATCCAAAATCCCAGTTTTGGGAATCAAATTGGGAATATGGATGATATTTCTTCCATTTTAGCGATTTTTTTAAAATTTTCAATTTAAATACAAGTGTTTAGTCCCCTAGTATCTATTAATATTAATTTCAAATTTACTTTAAAAATTTTCTAGGAGATATAAGACATGTTCCCAATTTTTAGCGATTTAGAACGGGAACCAATACATTTTACCAAAAATGAACACAAATGTACTCTTTTATTTGGTATTAAAAATAAAATAAAAACTAGGGTGTGTCCTGGTTCGACTTAATTTTGACACTTGATTGCTTTTTAGTTTAGACTAAAAAGCTTTTGAACTAGGACACCCTATTTTGGCTTGTTTTAAGTATTAACAGCTCTACTGTATATAATATACATTTTATAATAAATTTAATTTCTATGTTCATATATACATAATTGTGTTTATTTTAATTTAAAGGTGTCTACAATCATCCTGATAGAATAATGGTATAATAAATAGATTAGATTGACAACCAATCTATTTGATTAATTTATATACAGATTAAAACCACTTTATTCTAATAGCTCATCTTTCCAAAACTATTTATGCCTGCCTAGCAATCCGTGGTCTAGGGTTCTAATCTTGTTAGGCCTTATTTTTTTGAAAAATTAATTTGATACAAAATATTAAAATAATACGGTTTTTTCTCCTTTTTATTTTTTTTTCGTTTTTTTAAAAGAATATTTTTTTATATAATTAAACTGTTTAGGCGAAGATAAATAACTGGCTGTTTGGTGTCGAACCAGGACACACGTCCTTAGATATTAAATTATTTCATATTAGCCTGAATGAACCGATAAATTCTGAATTGTATATTTTCTTTGGACAAAATTTATTTATTTTAAAACTCTGTAGTAAATTTTTTTAAATATAATTTTAAAAAAATAATACAGACAGTGTCACTAAATACAAGCCCCGGGCCGTGCCAAAAAATAAATTTTTTTTAAATAATCTGAGTCCGGCTTTTACAAACCCGTGCCGTGGAATTGGCTCTGCAAGTTTCTATTTGTAAAAATAAATAATCTACAACATCTTCTAGTGATAATTTCTCACTAATAAAATTGTTTTATCAATTGTGAAAAAAAAAATATTTTACGTCATATTCATGTCTAATATTTTCTTAAAATCTTTATGATTTCCTAAAAATGTATATGATTTAGAGGCTTACAGGGGTTGGCGCTAACCTCATCAATAAAATATATTATTCTATCCATGGATCTAAGAATATTATATTTCCTTCCTTTTCTTTGCATTATTGAATGTCATAAATTATGAAATGAATTTATAATATAAGAAAAAATTTTAAAAAAAAATATGGAGGTAGTAATATTTACTATTCATTTTAATAAGGATTAGGTAGTAACGCATACATGTATTTAAATTACTAAATACTGTATATTTATTTATGTCCAGTCATTACAATCTCTTCCGTTCAAATAGCATTTTGCCCGTAGGGTCATTATATAAAATTTTTTTTATTGTATGTCAGGTTTTTCGTCAATTATTTTTATGTACAAAGTATATTTTATTTTGTGTTTTCTTTTGGCTGAGAGTTTTTCTATTTTTTACATATTTTCCTAAGTTTTTAATGATTATAAATTATAAGGTAGTGGCCAAGCCATGAGATTGTTCTTAATTCAGTGGTGTAATTAGGATCTCAAGATCTCCATGGAGCCTACTTTTATCCTTAATTTGAAGATAAAACTAGCATAAATTTTGTAAAATGACTTTTTTAAGTTTGCCCCATTCTCAATGACGTCATTAGTCTGCAATCTCAGGTGGTTCAATTTTTTTTAAAGAATTACACTTTTATTTAGCTAACATTTTCAAAATGACCACTACATTAATCATATTATATAAAATTAAAAAAAATATATACAAGTTTTGATCCGCAAAATGGATAAAAGTAAAACCTCATTATCATGCACCCCCGAAATTGTGGTACTCGACCACGGTCTTTACGATTATCTACCACCGAAAGATAGGTTAGCCCTCTGTCATTTCTGGACATCGATATTGACTCGAGACGAAAAAAAACTCCAGAAATATAGCAATAGATTGGGTGTTAAAGGTTAAATAGCATATCATTTTAACGCTTTAAAAAATTTGAGAGTATAATATAGATATATCCAAATTATAAAATACTATACATTCATACTAGATTACGTGTCTTTTGCTGAGATATTACTCCAAAGACCCCTTAGATCGTTCAGGTCCCTAGATAACTTGAACAAGGGCAAAATGTCTTCCTCATCTTCCTTGTTCACCGATAAGCTATCCTCTTCTGATCTCGAACTTATCAAGATAATCACTAAAAACCATTTCGACAAGATAATGTCCATATTGAAGGATATGCCTAAGCAGATGTTGCTAATCATGCGTAACATGAACACCATTCGTGCCATAACGCTTGAACACGGCGATTTGGTCAATCGATACATCATTATGGCAAAGAAGTATTTTTTTTTTAATTTTGCAAAATATTTTATTCAGAGTTGTGAGTAATTTATCTTATAACTCATCGACTTTTTAGACTCCTTAAAAAAAATTCGGAGAATTTATCGTCCCTCTTTCTAAATCAATCTTATAAAATAATTGAGGAGGTTTTATTATAAATACTTTTACTTAAGAAACTGAAATACTATATAAACTAGTGATCTGCATCGGGCCTAATTTTTCAAGCCCTGCCCGGCCCGAAATTTTTTTTAAAAAAGTTTTACCGGCCCGAACCCGAAATTTTTTTAAAATAATTTACCGACCCGGCCCGGCCCCAATTTATTTAAATATATAAATTAATTTTTATAATTACTCTAGACATGTTCTTAGATATATTTTAAAAAAATTAAAAATCCGACCCGATCCGGCCCGAATTTTTTTTTAAAATATTAGGCCCGGCCCGAACCCAATTATTTTAAATAGAAATAGGCCCGAAGCCCGTTCTGGCGGACTCGGGCCAGGCCTAACTTTGCAGATCTCTAATATAAACATTATAAAGATTATAACAGACACTGCTAAGTTAACCATGTATTTATGCCATTCATATTGTTACTTACTGCTTTATTAAAAATATTGCATATAATTTCAATAATTCTGATTCGTAGTTGTTTTTTTATATCACTACTTATATTTTATTTACTATATTAACTATATTATTTGTTATAGAATATATCTATTTTATAATAAGTTAAAATGTAGCAATTATATGAAGCGTGTGCTATATAACTTATATTTTATTTATTTTTTTTGTACAATTATCTTATCTATCGCCTATTAAATTATTACGTTATATGTATATCACTACCTAGATTTTATTTTTTATATTAACTAGTGGCTTACCGATATCCATTTTTGGTGGCCGACTCGATATTGCCGATATTAAATCGTTAAAATTAAATATATTTTAATTTTTATGATTATACCATAACGTAGTCATTTAAAATATTCTATAATCAAATTCTAATTAACCCATCATTTTAGGCTTATTTATTTAGTTATATTCATCAATTTAAAAATAAATAAATATTGTTAAATCAATTATTTATATAGTAAAATCAATATAATCTTTTTTTATTTATGATGTAGAAAGTAGAATCTCATCTAAATCTATTCAAGGTCAATAATAATTATTAGATTTTTTTATTATTTATTAAGCCATAAAATTATAAACATTTTTATAATACTAATGTGTTTTATTATTTTTTTTAACATATTTACAATTAGGGCTGCGCCGATATTAAATATCAGATCGGCACCGATATTTAGCGTTTTCCAAAATATTCGTTCGGGCTGATACCTGTAAAATAACCGATCCGATCTTTTTACTTTTATATTTCTTATTATTTTATGTGTATATTTATTTTACATTAATAATATTTTCTAAATAATTTTTTTTATAAAACAATGCAAATGCACAACACGCCTTAAATTTTATTAATTTTTTAAAATAGATTTATAGTATTTGAAGTGTTTTATTAAATAAGTAAAATAGGTAAAGTAAGTAAAAGTATATTTAATACAAAATATCACGTATATATATATCATGAATTCAATCCTTCAGGTTATATAATTTACAAACGAAAAGTTAATATTATATTCAATTTAAATTCAATTTATATTACAGTTCTCCCCACTATAAAATGAATTCATCGTGATAACGTAATGGGGGTTTCGAAACTCTTTTTCCAAGAGTTGTATTCTCATGTTCTGCCTTTTCCACTTCTTCGGTCAACGTAACGGGTATTTCCTTCTCTTGTGTATGTGCATCCCTCAATTGATCTGCATGCTTGTTTTAAACGATCCCCTCTGATTCCACATCGTACAATATTGCGCTTTTTCGTTGTAACACTTTTCTCATGCCACCCTGCTGTCCTTTCGTTTGCTATCCAAACTTTTTGCTGCTCTACAAACTCCCGAGGTTCAACACTTCTATCTTTGTAGTACTTTTGTTTCCATAGAGCGTTTTCCGTCCTTTCTCTCGTTGATAATTTCCACTGTTCCAATGTCGTCCTAAGCGACCTTCCAAACATCATCTCGGCAGGAGATTTACCAGTAGTTGCATTGGGAGTATTACGGTGAGTAATTAAAACATTTGCTAAATTTAACTGGTCCGGAGTCCCACATCTCCTTCCAGCATAGAAACGCGTCTTTATCGTCCGTATATATCGTTCAGCCAAACCATTCGATTTGGGGCTATAAGGGGCCGATCTAAAATGTTTTATATTGTTTTTAAAAAGAAACGTTTTGAATTCAGATCCAGTAAACTGAGTACCGTTATCTGAGACAATGTAGCGAGGTAACCCAAATCTAGCGAAATAATTACGCAGATTATTTATTACACTCGCCGAATTAATATGTGTTAAAATTGCAACTTAAACCCATTTGGTAAAAGCGTCTACCCAAATTAACCGATATTTTCCAGATACGGGGCCTGTCAAATCCATGTGTAATCGTTCCCAAGGTCGGGTAGGAATGTTCCAATTGTATAATGGCACTTCTTTAGCTCCCGGCCTTCCTTCTTGACAACTCTTACAACATTTAACAAAGTCTTCAACATCCGTATCGAGATTTGTCCAAAACACGTAATATCTACACAATGATTTCATCCCCACTATCCCAGGATGTCCTCGATGAATCACATATAAAACCTCCTTTTTTTAAAATATCTGGAATAATAATTATATCATTATAAAATAATAATCCTTCTTCGAACGAAATATTATCTTTAATCGAAATATATTTTTTTACAATCTCCGAATAATTATTTATATTATCAATATACCAATGATTTTTTATTAATTTAATAATCTCTTTTAGGTTTATATCATTGCTCGTTTCACTTACGACTTTACTGCGTGTGAAAGATAAATCCTCTATTAAATTAATTTTTAATCCTCTGATTTCTTCTTCGAATTTTTTTGTAACTTCATTGGTTTTTGCTTTCTCTACCCCCAAACGGGACAGAGCATTGGCACATTTATTTTGATTACCTGGTCTATATATTATCTCATAATCATAATTTAATAGTTTCGTCGCCCACCGTATATTAAACGGTTATTTGTTATTTTGTTAAGATCTCTTTTATCACCTAAAATATATTGTAATGGTTTATGATCAGTAACCAAGATAAAATGTCTTCCAAAAATATATTGATGAAACTTCTCGATAGCGAACATGATCGCCGAAGCCTCCCGATCAATTGTGGCATAATTCTTTTCAGCCGCCGAAAGTGTCCTCGATGCGTAAGCAATCGGTTTCTCCTGGCCAGTAAGAAATCGGTGTGCAATAACAGCTAGACCATCTTCGGAAGCGTCACAAGAAATCACGACAGGGATATCGGCTGAATAAGGAATTATTGTATCTTCTTTTGACAATATATTTTTAACTTTAGTAAATATTTCATTTTCTTTAGCTGACCAAAACCAACCAACATTTTTAATTCACTATTCCAAGAAAGTAGTTCTTTAACATTGGAAGGTGTTTTAAAATTTTTTATAGCGCTAATCTTATCTTCTGTAGGGTGAATTCCGAAACTGTCAATAACATGACCTAAATAAGTGACTGACTTTTCTCCGATTTTAATTTTATCGGTCGTCGTGGTCAGTCCAGCCTTCTCAAATCTTCTTAATACTTCTTCCAAATTAACTATATGATCGGAATTATTCTCACCTGCAATAATTATGTCGTCTAAAAATACACTAACCATAGGAATTCCCTTTAATAGGTTTTTCATAAAGCGTTGGAATATTATCGTACCGCTAGTCAAACCAAATGGAATTCTTTGGTATCGGTAATAACCGACATGTGTCGAAATTACCAAAAGGTCACTACATTCTGGACTAACTCCGAATTGTAAAAATGCATCTCTTAAATCTATTGTTGAAAATATTTTACCACCCGCGATTTTATTTGTTAGGTCGACGAAAGTTGGTAGTAAATCGTTATTGATCGCTAGATATTTGTTGATTGTTAAACGAAAATCTTCGCATATCCGTACGGCACCGGATTTCTTTAAGATATTAACCGTTGGCGTAGCCCAAGTGATTGGAGTTATTGTTGGATCCACCTTCTCGATAACGCCTTCGTCTAAAAGTCTGTCCAACTCAGCTTCAATGGTTCGACGCAACGGAAAAGGAACTCTTCTTGCTGGTAATGCAATCGGTAACGTGTTCGGTTCTATTCGGATGACTGCCTTTTGCAGTTTGATTTCACCTAATTTTTTTTTAAAAACTTGAGGGAATTTTGAAACAATCGTATTTAAAGAGGGAATATTCATATTTATTTTATTAATACGAACTTCTTCCGGTAGTTTTATATCAAATTCTCTAATGAAAGGCATCCCAAAAATAAGGGAATTCTCCCCTTTAACTACCCAAATAAGTAAAAATTTCGAAATATTTTTTACTTTGACTTCTACGGTACATTTACCTAGTACTTCGATTTGGATATGATTATATCCCACTAATATATAAGCCGGTGATAGTTGTGGTCTGCCAATACGATTCCAGGTGACCTCATCAATCACACTACACGCGGCGCCGGTATCAAACTCCCTAGCTAGCTGCAACCCATTTATCTTCGCATCGATGGTAGCTTTATTTGAAAATGACAGGCGAGGTGTGTCCGTGGCAGAATCATTTGTATGGCATGGGTTCTACAATCTTTCGCTATGTCGTTTGCCTTACCGCAACAAAAGCATATAACTTTCTTTTGAATAGAGTTAGGTTTGATACTAGGTCTATAATTATTATTAGGAATATAATTGTTACTAAAGTGTTTATTATTATTGAATCTATTGACGTTAGTATAATTATTATTTCTAAAATAATTATTTTTCGAACCCTGTGTTGGCTTATTTTTAATTATTTTATTAACTTCAGTCTGGGTTTCATTTTCCAACGAAGACAGCGCGATCGCTAAACGCACGGTCTCTTCAAAATTAATATTGCCTTCGATATAC